ATCATCAACGACAACAACAACATCAACGACGACGCCAACGACAGCACTTATTTTAAGACTGTTCCCCCTCATCTGCTCGAGTGTCCAATGGCGCGTATTTCCCAAACCCTCGATGCCCGCTCTGTTCGTCTTCGATCGAACCCTTTTTTCGGGGGGTATACCTTTCTTCCCTGCAGGCTGGGCCCCAGCAAGCGGCGGGGCGGCCGCGGACCGTCGGCCTGGCCAGCGGCAGCGCTGCTCGGCGGGGCGGCCGCGGACCGTCGACCCGACCCCAAGAAGGACGGACAGGGGGCCGACCGCGACGACGACGACGGCGACGACGATGACGACGACGACGACGACGTCGACGACGACGGCGACGACGACGACGACGGCGACGACGACGACGAGCGAAAGCGAGAGCGAGAAGGAACGACAGCAGGGCCACGAAGACACAAAGTAGGCCACGAAAGGAGACAGCGGGGACAAGAAGGGAATGCTTACGGGGCCACGAAGCGCGCGAACGAGCTGGGGCCACGAAGGGCATGCGTACACTGGGCCGCGGAGGGCAAGGACGGGGCCACAGAGGGCAGCGACGGGGCCGCGAAGGGCAGCGAGAGGGCCACGAATGGCGAAAGCGGGGCCGCGAAGGGCAAGAAGGGGGCGACGAAGGGCGACAACGGGGCCACGTAGGGCATGCGCATGAGGCCACGACGGGCGCGAACGACCGGGGGCCACGAAGGGCAAATCATGCCAGGCCACAGAAGGCAACGACGGGGCAACTGAAGGTAGCAAATGGGCCACGTAGGCCACTGAGGGGGCCACAAACGGCGACAGCGGGGCCACGAAGGGCATGCACATAGGACCACAACGGGCGCGAACGAACGGGGGCCACGAAGGGCATACGTATACTGGGCCGCGGAGGGCGAGGACGGGGCCACTGAGGGCAGCAACGAGGCCGCGAAGGGCAGCGAGGGGGCCACGAAGGGCGCGAAAGGCATGCATATAGGGGCCACCACGGGCGCGAACGAGCGGGGGCCACGAAGGGCATATATAGATGGGGCCACGAAAAGCAGCGAGGGGGCCACTAAGGGCAGCGAGGGGGCCGCGAAGGGCTGCAACGGGGCCGCGAAGGACTGCGACGGGGCCACGAAGGGCAACGAAGTGGTCACGAAGGGCTACAACGGGGCCGCGAAACAAAGCGAGGGGGCCACGAATGGCAGCGAGGGGGCCACGAAGGGCAGCGAGGAGGACACGAGGGGCTGCAACGGGGCCGCGAAGGGCAGCGAGGGGGCCACGAAGGGCTGCAACGGGGCCGCGAAACAAAGTGAGGGGGCCACGAAGGGCTGCAACGGGGCCAGGGCAGCGAGATTCCGATTCTTAGGTATGCTGTGAGGGAGTCCTAAACGTGAGCGCGATTCCTGGGTGCCTGGGTGTCGGGAGCGCGGTGCTTGAATTACTTGCAAGAATTTCCACCGCAATGACGCCGTTCTTCAGTAGATTGCAAGCACGTCTCCAGCGACAGCGCGACTCCAGAGCGCCGGGAAAGCGATTCCTGAATACATTGTAAGGAAGTCCCAAGCGAGAGTGCGATTCTTGAATCAAATGCAAGGAAGTCTCGGGTGGCAGCAGGGGTCCTGGCTGAATTGTGAGGAAGTCTCAGGCGGGAGCCGTCGTTGTTGTCACCCGGGGGCCAACGACACAGTTTGACGCTCAAGACTCCCCCCGGAAAAAAAAAAAACACGGTGCGAGTTCCGGGGGGGGCACTTCAATCGAGAAAAGAAATGTGCAGGACGTGGGGGATCAACGACATTTATTTTGCGTAAATGGGAGTTCAAGAGCAACAACAACAGCAACAGCAACAGCAACAGCAGCAACAACAATGCAGCAAACATAATTCTAACCGCGAATTCCTTATTCAGCCACGCACCCAGGGACAATTAATGACCGTTCGGCCCCTTCACTCTGATCAAGTTTTGTGCCCCTCCTACTGCTCCAGGGAGGCACCGCCAGAGCGATGAGGGTATCGGAATCACCTGCGATGTATCAGGTCTTGTGCCCCTCCCACCACTCCAGGAAGGCCCCGCCAGAGCGAGGATGTTTTCGGAATGCGTTATTGTATATTCGGTTTCGTGCTCCTCCCACACCTCCAGGGAGGCCCCGCCAGAGCGAGCGAGGTATCGGAATACCACTTTATTCAACAGGTTTCGTGCTCCTCACTATTTTGGGTCCTCTACTCCGTCCTCACCTTCCATGCTTCTTCCCCTCCTCGCCTTCGCGGGCCCTTTCGTGACTGTACCTGCACGTCCTTGGTCTTCGGGTTTTGTTCTTGCTTGTTGTGCCCCCCTGGATCCCTTTAGCCTTGTAACATCCTTATGTGGGGAAGATTGGTCGCATACTTTTCGAGGGGGCTGTCGATGGCCCTCGGTTGGGTGGATCGCAGCCCGGGCGAGGTGACCCAAAGGTCTCGCTCTGCTGGGCCCCCCCGTTTTTTCTTCAGGATCGAAGGATGTTTCTCCGCCTCTTCCCTTAATGATCGCGCAGGGGGGGGGAGGAGGAGGAGGAGGAGGAGGAGGAGGAGGAAGAGGAGGAGGAGGAGGAGGAGGAGGGGAGGGAGGAGGAGAGGAACAGCAGAAGGAGGGGGAGGAGGAGGAGGAGGAGGAGGAGGAGGAAGAGGAGGAGCAGGAACAGGAGGAGGAGGAGGAAAGGAAGAGGAGAGGAGGAGGAGGAGGAGGAGGAGGAGGAGGAGGAGGAGGAGGAGGAGGAGGAGGAGGAGGAGACGGAGGAGGAGGAGAAGGATGAACAGGAAGAGGAGGAGGAAAAGGAGGAGGAGGAGGAGGAGAAGAAAAAGGAGGACCAGGAGGAGGAGGTGGACGAGAAAACGGAGGGGGAGGAGGAGGAGGAGGAGGAGGAGGAGGAGGAGGAGGAGGAGGAGGAGGAGGAGGAGGAGGGAGGAGGAGGAGGACCAGTGTAAACCTAAGATTGATCAGCGATTTTTGAGTACATACTCCCTCTAAGCTCCCTCTTCATAGGTCCCTACAAGGGTTCATCTCCACTGAGGGAACTGCTTCGTTTGGAGACAACCGTTTGAAGACCCTGAAGCATGCCAAACCACCATTCTCGAGACTCCAACGCCACGGATCAACCTCACTGTGGCGTCTTGACGATCCTGGATCGCGCCAAAGCAACATTCTTGGGACTTCCTGGGGTTTCAGCCCCACGAACCAACGTAACTGTCGCACCCTCGCAATCATGAGTCCTTTCAAAACACCACTTCTGGTACGTTGGCCATGGAAATCCGCAAAATTACTGCTGTTTGTTTGAACGAATGCATGCGGCGCTAAGGCGAGGGCCACACTTTGAAAACAAGCCGTTTCCAATCCGTGAAACTTTGGCAGATGTTTAAGACGAGTGTGCGTGGCGCGAAGGCGAGAGCTACACTGTGAAAGCGGCTCGCTCTTCATCCGTGAAGCTCTCTCAAATGTTTAAGACGAATGTGCGCGGCGCTGAGGCGATAGCCCCATTTTGAAACCAGCCCGCTCTCAATCCGTGAATCTCTTGCAAAGTTTGAAAACACATGTTCGCGTTGCTAAGGCGAGAGCCTTATTTAATCGCTTCGCTCATTCCGCCGGCCCATACAGTCTCATGTCTGCCGTTTGCCCGAGGGCCTGGTGTCAATGCGGCGCTTTGGGGGTTCCTGGGGCCGCTTGGGGGACTCCTGGGGCGCTCGGGGGGGCATTTGGGGGGCCTCCTGGGGCCGCTTGGGGGACTCTTGGGGGCCTCCTGAGGGCCTCGTGGGGGCCTCTTGGGGCCTCTTAGGGGCCTCTTGGGGCCTCGTGGGGGCTTCTTAGGGCCGAGGGCTCGAAATGTTGTTTCGTGTTCCCTCTCTGGGGCCCCTTTGGGGGCGTTCTTGGGGCCCTCTTGGACCGTCTTGGAGGCTTCTTGGGCCGTCTTCGAGCCCTCTTGGGCCATCTTGGGGCCCTCTTGGGGGCCTCTTGGGCCCTCTTGGGGCGATCTTGGGGGCCTCTTGGGCCGTCTTGGGGCGTCGGGAAGCCGAAAAGGTGGAAGCTCCAAAATCTTTCAAAAACCTAAGGAAAAGCTATGAATTTTGCTTCTTGGGGCCCTTTTGGGAGTGCTCTTGGAGGCCTCTTGGGGCGTCTGGGGGCCATCGTGGGCGTCTTGGAGCGATCTTGTGGCATCTCGGACCCCTCATGTAGCATCTTGAAGGCCTCTTGGAAGCCTCTTGGCCCTTCTTGGGGCTCTCGGGGACGTCTCGGAGCCGCGTTGGTGCGCTGCTGGAGCGCCCTGGTGACTCCTCCCGGGACTCTCTCAGGACCTTGCCGGGGTACTTTCCGCCCGGGGACCCCCAGGGGCCGCCCCGCGCGCGCGAAGTAGAAATAGAAAGATTGTAAAGCAGTCACCGGAGATCTTAGCACGCCTCTGGCCCGTTGGGCCGGCGAATTTTGAAAACCACCCGGCCTCCATGTGTGAAGCTGTTGTCTATTTTGAGTTTCGGGGTCATATGTGGTGAGGACGTGTCAGGCGGAACGCCCGGCCCGCCCTTTCGAAGGGCCTCGGGGTGCGACAGGGAGGATGGAGGAGGAGGAGGAGGAGGAGGAGGAGGAGGAGGAGAAGGAGGAGGAGGAGGATGGGGGATGGAGGATGCAGGATGGAGGACGGAGGATGGAGGCAGGGAGGAGGAGGAGGAGGAGAGGAGGAGGAGGAGGGAGGAGGAGAGGAGGAGCAGGAGGAGGAGGAAAGGAGGAGAGGAGGAGGAGTAGAGAGGAGGAGGATGGAGGAGGAGGAGGAGGAGGAGGAGGAGGAGGAGGAGGAGGAGGAGGCGGAGGAGAGACGACGGAGGAAGTAGGAGGAGAGGAGACGACGGAGGAGGAGGAGGAGGAGGAGGAGGAGGAGAGGAGGAGGAGGAGGAGAGGAGACGCGGCGGCGGCGTCGGCGGAGAAGGAGGCAGGAGGCGACGAGGAGGTGGGAGGAGCAGCTCATTGGATGGTCCCTCGGCCCGAGGTGCTGGTCGACCCAGCCCAGCCGCCCCCCGCACCAGACCCCGTTCTCGGCGCGGGGAGGCCGTCGCCGAAGGCTGGGGGGCCGTCGAGCGCCGCCGTGGTCGGCGGCGAGGCGTGCAGGTGCTGGAGCCGTCCCCCCCCCCCCTCTCCCGCCCCCCTCCTCCCCCTCCTCTCCTCCCTCCCCCTCATCTCCCTCTCCCCCTTCCCCTCCCCCTTCCCCCGCTCCTTTTTTGACGCTGAGCGGATTTTAATTCTCGGGATTGTAGCGTTCCTCCCGATCCTCCTCCTCCTCCTCCTTCCCCTGTTCCCTTCCTCCCCACCTCCTCCTCTTCTCCATTCCCCGCCCCTTCTCCCCCTACCCTACCCCGATCCCCTTCCCTCCCTTCCCTGATTGCACGCTCGAAATACTACTCTCCTCTCTCCCCTGACTCTGTCCGGAGGATGTTCGGCCCTCTCCGCGTGTTGCAGCCACACAGGATCTCAACGTGCTTTACGTGTCGTTTGGGATCGGGTCGCTTTCGGTCCTTCAGAACGGTCCTGCCGCTGCGGCGCGGTCCCCACTTTCGGACCTCCGCTGCTCCCGTCGTTCAGGATGGCGCTCTCGCCCCAGCGCGGGCCACGCTTTTGGCTCCAGGCCCCTCCTCATCGTTGTCGCCACCCCCGTCCTCTCGCGTCCTTCGCCCTCCCCGGGCCTTGCTGCCCCTCCCGATCCTTCCACTCCAGCTCCTGCCGCTGCCGTTCGTCCAGACGACGCCAAGAGTCAGAATGCCGAGCGCCGCGGCGTTCTGACAGGAATGGTGCCGAAGTGGCGGAGCGTTGCGCGCGCGTTCGGTGCACGTCGGCACGAGTGCTCGAGCGTCGCACGCGTGCCCAGCTGCGGTACCGCGCGCCCTGGAGGAGTCTTCGAGGTGCCGCTGCTGCGTCGACCGTGCGTTCGCCTCGCTCTGTGCTGAAATTCTTTACGCTTCGCGTATCCCCACCAGCCCATCTCAAAACAGCAACTCTTGCGAAGCATGCCGACAGTCGTGTTTTTCAGGCGTGTTTCCGCCTGGCCCCGCATATCTCTCCTGTTCCTCCTTCCTCCCGCCTCCTTGTACATCCTCCTTGTGGTGGGAGCGGGAGAAGGACGAGGCGGAGGAGGAGGGAGAAAGCGCTCCTCGTGGTTTGAGTCGTTTGGGGTTTCTCGTCCTGGTGTGAGTCGTTCGGGCCCTTCTTCCTGGTGTGAGTCGTTCGGGCTCTTCGTGGTGTGAGTCGTTCGGGCTCTTCGTCCTGGTGTGAGTCGTTCGGGCTTCTCGTGGTGTGAGTTGTTCGGGCCCCTCGTCCTGGTGTGAGTCGTTCGGGCCCCTCCTCCTGGTGTGACTCGTTCGGGCTCCTCGTGGTGTGAGTCGTTCGGGGCCCTCGTCGTGGGGTGAGTCGTTCGGGCTCCTCGTGGTGTGAGTCGTTCGGGCGCCTCGTCCTGGTGTGAGTCGTTCGGGCCCCTCCTTCTGGTGTGAGTCGTTCGGGCTCTTCGTGGTGTGAGTCGTTCGGGCCCCTCGTCCTGGTGTGAGTCGTTCGGGCTCCTCGTGGCGTGAGGCGTTCGGGCACCTCGTCTCCTTTTGGGGCGTCTTGGGGGCCTCTTGGCGGCCCCAGGGACTTCTAGGAGCGTCTTAGGTGCCTTGGGGGAGCCTCTTCGGGCCTCTTGGGAGCCTCCTGGAGGCCGTTTGGGGCGTCTTGGGGGCCTCTTGGCGGCCCCAGGGGCTTCCAGGAGCGTCTTGGGTGCCTCGGGGGAGCCTCTTGGGGTCTCTTGGGGGCCTCTTGGGGGCATCTTGGGAGCCTCTTGGAGGCCTCTTGGGGGCCTCCTGGGGGCCTCTTGGGGCCATCTTGGGGCCTCTTGGTGCCTCCTGGACGCTTCTTGGGGCCATCTTGGAGAGAATCGATCCAAGAAGAGGGGAGCTTTAATTAGCGCTGCCCCCTCAGAAGGGCAACATGGGGCCAAAACCTTCGTAAAATCAATGATTTTGGCTTGAAAGAAGAGGGGGGCTTTAAATAGCGCTGCCCCCTCAGAAGGCCAAAATGGGGCCAAAACCGTAGTAAAATCAATGATTTTGGCTTCAAAGAAGAGGCGAGCATTTTTTCTCCCTCCCCCCGTCGGGGCCAGAATCCTCGTGAGGGGTGTCGTTTTTTAGCCCTCCCAGGAGTCGAAAAAGACCCCTCTGACCACCCGCGAGGCGCCCTCTCCAGGCCCAGGGGGAGGGGGTCGGGGGAGGGGTAAACCCCTCCCCGAAGGGGAAGAAGGGGGGTTGAGAACAGAGCGGGCTCTCTAAACCACTCACGCCCAAAGGGCTGGTGGGATTCAGAAGTGCGTGACTGTGACCTGTGCCTTGAGAAAGACACAGCGGCCAGCATGGCCGTGAGAGACACGTGGAGCCACTGATATGTGCAACGCGGGCGTGTGCAGCGCCTGCGAATCTTCTACGGGCATGCCCTGTGGCGTCTGTGCTGAGCTGGAGATGCTCGCGGTGCATGCTTTTGGTAGATAGTGGGCAGGGCATGGCGATGCGTTTCTAGACGGACGGGCTGGAATAATTGAAGTTCCGCGCATACACACGTACATAGTGAAGCAGGGCACACATGGTGTTTTCGCTTCCCTGCGCGAATTTACGATAGGGCCTCTGCGACTCGATGGGCCCGAGCGCCCTTGTCACGCGAGTATTGAAACTGATGTAAAAAACAACAACTCGCTGCTCATGCTCCTGTCCATCCCTCTCCCCCTCGCTCCCCCCTCCCGCCTCCCCCGCTTCCCCTCCCCCCCTCCCGCCCGTCCTTCCCTCCTCCCCTTCTGTCCCCGAGGCTCGACCCTCCTCCCCCCCCCTTCCCTGCCCCCCCGCTCCCTGCCCCGCTCCGCGCCCAGGTGCGGGGGTTACCACCGCGGCTGCAGGCTGGGCCCAGCTGGCGAGGCGCCGGCGCCGGCGCCGGCGCCAGCCCAGCCCGCTCTGGCGGCGGTCAAAGGCGGCGTCGGCAGCGCTGCCGTTGCGGGCACGGCGGCTTGCAGGTGCGGCTCTGGCCGCCAGCGGCGGCGAGCGAGCGATGCACGGCGACGACGAGTGGCCAGCGGCGACGGCGGCGGCGGCGGCGACGATGGCGAGCGGCGGCTGCGGCGGCGTCGCCGTGCCGTTGTTGGGACGGCGTTTGTGGAGGTCCCCGTCGCCACTGGCCGGGCGCGGCTTGGAAGGCTGGCAACGGTGGACCCCCAGCGCGATCCAGGGATCGATTTGGGGTGGGCTGTGCTCGGACGACGACGACGACGATCACGACGACGCCGCCGACGACGACGGCGGTGGCGACGGCGAGCAGCTTCCCCATCCATTACGGCACGCCCCATCACGCGTTGCTTGGCCCACGGAAAGCCGCACCTACAACGCGTTACTCACAACTACATATGGTTGGGCCCTTCGGCAGGATGATTTTTTTTGGCAACGTCGGAAGGCTTGCATCGGGCTCCCAGACCGCCAGACATGGATCTGGACGGCCAACCGGTCCCTGGGACGTTGTCGAGAGGTCCGCGGGCACCCCGCAGCGGACACACCATGACATCGGAGATCTGGGTCCCGGGGAATTTCGGCGTCGTGCCTGTGCCGCCAACCCTGTGTGTGTATGTGTCGGGTCCTCGCTTTGGATCTGCAGCTCCCCGCGTCACCTTCCTTCCCTCCCGCTCTTCTTCCTCGTGCTCAACGCATGCCCTGGTCCTTTCGGGACCCCCCATGACGCGCTTCGTGACCCCGGGGGGATCTCTCCGCCTGCGGCGTCGGTGGCCTCGACCGCATGGCGTCCCCGCGCCCACTTCAGCATGGCACACCCCTCAGAGCTGCCAGGATGTAGGACGCCATCTTTTTCGCGCCCGGATGGTCGGGGCGTCTGAGGGATACTGACCGTTCCGGGCGGGTAGACATTCAGAGCCCTATGACCATCACGATGCAGCGGGCGTGACTGTTGGGCACATCCCGAGGGGGAGACGCCATGGGGGTCTGACACAGGCCCGTTCGCGCCTGATTTGATTGTCGGGACTTTTCAGGCAGAGCAGTCGCTTTGGGGTGTACGTATGAGTTGTCCTTTGGGCATGGCCTTCAGCCACCATCGCGATTCAGCAGGCATGGCCTTTGGGCATCTCACGGGGAATACGCCAGCGGATATATGACGCGGGCCCGTTTGCGTCCATATTGCGGGGACCTCTCTGGCGAAACGATTTTGTTTCGGTCCAGTAGACGAGCTTCCTTTCAAGCCCATGGCCACCGTGATGTAGCAGGCATGGCAAATGAACATCCGAAGGAGGAACCGCCAGGGGAGGCCAACTCAAACGCAGACTAGCTTACTGCATTCGGACCCACTCATAATAGTAGTATCCCTGAGCGCGATATGTGAACTCGGGCGTTGCGTGGCGTACTTTCTGTGGTATCTTAAACATTTTGGGTGCATGAAACTAAAGATTCGCACCTCGGCGAACACTCAGTCATTCGGACTCGCTCGGATTCACACCCAAACTCGTGGAACGGAAATTCGTCATCAAATGTATGCGCGTATCGGGACCTCCGCGCCGAATCTTTTCCAATCCGTGGGCTCCAGGGATCTCGACCCCTGCCCCCGGGGCCAGCCCCCCAGCCTGCATCGTTTCCTGACGGCCCTGAGGCCCGAAAACCACCCCCTGGTGGGGCGACGGCGAGGAGAACGAACTCCTCGAGAGGGCCGTGCACGCCAGCAGCGCCCGGGGTGGGGGGCATCTCTGCTGGCCACGTGGCAGGTGCGGCGGCTACCACCGGTCGTGCAGGCTGGCCGGCGACCCCGTCCGCCCCACGCTGGCGCCCGAGAGCCCCACGCCCGCCGCGGCGCTGGCGCGGGAGCGCTCTCGCCGCTCGCCGAGCACCGCCGCGCTCGGCTCCGGGCCCTGCCGGTGCGGCGGCTACCACCGCGCCTGCCAGCTGCGCGCGCCGCAGCCGCCCCGCCGGGCGGCCGAGGCAGCCTGCCCGGCCGCGGCGCTGCGCAAGGGCAGGGGTCGCCTCGCTGCCTCCGGCCTCGGGGCGCGGCGGTGCGGGTGCGGCGGGTACCACCGCGGGTGCCGCTGAGGCTCGGCAGGGCCGCGCCGTGCGGAGGAAGCCAGGCGGGCCTCGTCGGCCTCGGCACCACAGCTCTGCCGAGGTGGCGATATCAGGGGATCGAAACATGGCATAAGCATATGAGAACTCGGAGGTCCGCGCGGATTTCTTGGATCCGCGTTGGACCCCCCTCCCTGGCGCGCGGAGCGCGCCAGGGGCGGCGCTGGAGGCGCCGCCAGGGGGCCCCAGCGCCGCTCCGAGAAATCCGCGCGGACCTCGTAGTTCTTTTATGGTTTTGCCACTGTCGGGGGTGGACAGAACCCCCAACAGTCACACGTCGATTCGTGAATTGTCCGTTTTCGGTTCTCGAGAGGGCGCCCTGGCCGTTATTTTCCAGTCCTGCGCCCGCCAGGTTTGGGCCTCAGGTCGTTTTCACTAAAGGGAGGTCTGTCCATCCCCGACACTGTTCGTTCCCCTGGATGCCGTACCCCGCGGCGATGGGGCCCCCCGGCGGCACCTGCCAGAAGTGCAGGGCCGCGCGAGGGCCGCTCTTCGATCTGGGCCTAAGTCGGGCCTGTCCCTCTACAGGGGGTATATTCAAAATTGGTGAAAAAATGGTATGAGGAGTATTTTCTTTTAGTATTTTGGGACATCATTTGAATATTTGTAAAAAATGTTTTCTAATCTAATTTTTCGTCCAAAATCCCCCTGTAGGGGGACAGGCCCGACCTAACTCTACAGGAGGGATATTCAAAAATAGTCAAAACATAGTCTGGGGACGATTTTTTAATCATTATGTTTTTGAGCATTTTGGGAGTATTTGTTCTAAGTATCTCTAACTTTTCGCCCAAAATCCCCCTGTAGGGGGACAGGCCCGACCGAAGGCCAGGCTTTCCAGTCGGGCATGTCCCTCTACAGGAGGGGTGCTCAGAAGTAGTCAAAAAATTAGTCCGGCGACGATGTTTCGGCTATTTGGGATTATGCTTGGAGATTGTTGGAGTACTTGCTATGTCTCCTCCAGAATCCGCCTGTGGCAGGACACGCACCGACCTTGGGGTCAGGCCCAGCCGCGCAGGCCGCTGCTGTTGCACCGCGCGCAATGACCGGCAGGCCGCACAGCATTGGCCGCTCTTGCCTGGGGTTGGGTCGGGCACGTCCTCCTACCGGCGGATTTTGAACGAAGAGTTGAAGATAATCAACGAACATATGCAACAATAATCGGAATTATTCGAAAACTCGTCCCCAGACTATTTTTTGACTATTCCTGAATGTTCCTCCTGTAGAGGGACAGGCCCGACTTCAACCTAGAGTCACTCTTATGTGTAGCGAGACTCCCCGGAATCCTTCGTCTCTAGAGGGTCGATCGCTGGTAATTTTAGACCGTGGAGATGGTAGAATGCCGAACTCCAGGTGTGTAGCCATTGGAGAGGAACTCCACCGCACCTTTTTAACGCATTCGAGGCCTTGGAGAGGTACCTAGAATGCATAATTCGTGCCACTGGATGGGTACATATAGGTTTTTGCCATTGGAGAGGGACGCTCCTGCTTTTTTTAATTGTTCGAGCCCTTGGAGAGGGTAGGATGCTTTTTCTTTTCTCTTCATTCGGCCGCGCGCCACCCTGGAACATGCGTCATTGCACACTTTGGACGGGGGGGCCAGTGGCTGTTTCAACAGAGCTCATCAGGCGACCGTCGTTCGATCTTTGTGATAACACCGAACGCACCCTGTGCTGCTTGCGCGGGAATTTGTTTGATCATGTACAGGAGTCGCTTTGGAACGCGTTTGTTTTTTTTTTCTTTTTTTTTGTTTTTTTTTGTTTTTTTTTTTTTTTGGTTTTTTCTTTTTTTTTTGAGTCGCTTTGGAACGCGATTTTGCATTTGAAATATGGTTTCAAAGTATAAGACGCCATGGTGTAAAGTGCTCCGTGAGCTCACCACGATCCTTGGATCGAACTTCGCGTCTGAGCGACGTCACAAACATCTGTGTGGATCAAGCTCGCTTCATCTTTCCGTTTACTTCCGTTTTTTTTTTTGTTGTTTTTTTATTTTTTTTAATGACCTTATTAATTGAAATTTATGGGTTGTAATGGGGGGAGGATTTTGAGGGAGAGAAGTATAGGGGAGCGAGGGGAAGAGGGGGAGGGAAGAGGAGGGGGAGGAGGGGGGATGGGGGGTGGTGGGTGGGGGTGAGCTTTCATGTTGTTGTGGACGAGGATTTGGATTTTTTTTTTTTCTATCTTCTTTCTCTCCCTTACTTACTTTTCTGCTTCTTTTTCTGCTGCTACGCCGCCCGTGCCCCATCACTCCTCCCATCCGCATACTAATCCACTCATCCTCCTCCTCTCTCTCTCGGCCTCCCCTCCATCATCCTTCATCCTCACTCCATACCTCCCTCTACCTCCTCCTCCTGTTCCTCCTCCTCCTTCTCCTCCTCCTCCATCTCCTCCTCCTCCTCCTCCTCCTCCTCCTCCTCCTCCCTCCCTGCTCAAGCTTTCGCTCACTCCCCTCCCTGCCTTCCCTCGAGCCTGGACTGAGGGCCCAGCGTGCTCGAGAGCCCCACCCACTCCCAGGTGGAGCTCGGAACTGCAACAAGTGCCCAGAATTGGGTCGGGCATGCCCCCTAAGTGCAGATTTGCGAGCAACAACCACGTTGAGTTTTGCAGATGTGTGATGCCAACCGCCACACCAGGCTGCCAGGGCAGCGGGGGGAGGGGGAGGAGGAGGAGGAGGAGGATGAGGAGGAGGAGGAGGAGGAGGAGCGAGGAGGAGGAGAGGAGGAGGAGGAGGAGGAGACGGAGGACGAGGGAGGAGGAGGAGGAGGAGGAGGAGAAGGAGGAGGGGAAGGTGGGGGAGGAGGGGAGGAGGAGGGGGAGGAGGGGGAAATGAGGCGGAGGCGGAGGAGGGGGAGGAGACAAGCTAGGTGCGCTCGCGTCATATATGACGTCCTACCCCTCCCTCCCATCCCTTACCATGGCGCTGATTTTCTCTATCCGCGGGCGCGTGTCGTAGCGGACTTGTGGCTCCGCGCGCGCGTGCGTAGTGGGTGGTGGTGCGCGTGCGTGCGTGCGTGCGTGCGTGTGGGCGTGGTTGTGGTGGTGTTGGTGTTGTTGTTGTTGTTGTTGTTGGTGTTGTTGTTGTTGTTGTTGTTGTTGTTGTTGTTGTTGTTGTTGTTGTTGTTGTTGTTGTTGTTGTTGTTGTTGTTGTTGTTGTTGTTGTTGTTGTTGTTGTTGTTGTTGTTGTTTTGTTGTTGTTGTTGTTGTTTTGTTGTTGTTGTTGTTGTTGTTGTTGTTGTTGTTGTTGTTGTTGTTGTTGTTGTTGTTGTT